CCCCACACTAAAGGACCCTGGCCACCACACTGAGGGACCCTTGCCCCCACACTAAAGGACCCTGGCCACCACACTGAGGGACACTGGCCCCCACACTAAAGGACCCTGGCCACCACACTGAGGGACACTGGCCCCCACACTAAAGGACCCTGGCCACCACACTGAGGGACCCTGGCCCCCACACTAAAGGACCCTGGCCACCACACTGAGGGACCCTGGCCCCCACACTAAAGGACCCTGGCCACCACACTGAGGGACCCTGGCCCCCACACTAAAGGACCCTGGCCACCACACTGAGGGACCCTGGCCCCCACACTAAAGGACCCTGGCCACCACACTGAGGGACCCTTGCCCCCACACTAAAGGACCCTGGCCACCACACTGAGGGACCCTTGCCCCCACACTAAAGGACCCTGGCCACCACACTGAGGGACACTGGCCCCCACACTAAAGGACCCTGGCCTCCACACTAAAGGACCCTGGCCACCACACTGAGGGACCCTGGCCCCCACACTAAAGGACCCTGGCCACCACACTGAGGGACCCTGGCCCCACACTAAAGGACCCTGGCCACCACACTGAGGGACCCTGGCCCCCACACTAAAGGACCCTGGCTACCACACTGAGGGACCCTGGCCCCCACACTAAAGGACCCTGGCCACCACACTGAGGGACCCTGGCCCCCACACTAAAGGACCCTGGCCACCACACTGAGGGACCCTGGCCCCCACACTAAAGGACCCTGGCCACCACACTGAGGGACCCTGGCCCCCACACTAAAGGACCCTGGCTACCACACTGAGGGACCCTGGCCCCCACACTAAAGGACCCTGGCCACCACACTGAGGGACCCTGGCCCCCACACTAAAGGACCCTGGCCACCACACTGAGGGACCCTGGCCCCCACACTAAAGGACCCTGGCCACCACACTGAGGGACACTGGCCCCCACACTAAAGGACCCTGGCCACCACACTGAGGGTCCCTGGCGTCCACACTAAAGGACCCTGGCCACCACACTGAGGGACCCTGGCCCCCACACTAAAGGACCCTGGCCACCACACTGAGGGACCCTGGCCCCCACACTAAAGGACCCTGGCCACCACACTAAAGGACCCTGGCCACCACACTGAGGGACCCTGGCCCTCACACTAAAGGACCCTGGCCACCACACTAAAGGACCCTGGCCACCACACTGAGGGACCCTGGCCACCACACTGAGGGACCCTGGCCACCACACTGAGGGACCCTGGCCACCACACTGAGGGACCCTGGCCACCACACTGAGGGACCCTGGCCACCACACTGAGGGTCCCTGGCCACCACACTGAGGGTCCCTGGCCACCACATTGAGGGACCCTGGCCCCCACACTAAAGGACCCTGGCCACCACACTAAAGGACCCTGGCCACCACACTGAGGGACCCTGGCCCTCACACTAAAGGACCCTGGCCACCACACTAAAGGACCCTGGCCACCACACTGAGGGACCCTGGCCACCACACTGAGGGACCCTGGCCACCACACTGAGGGACCCTGGCCACCACACTGAGGGACCCAGGCCACCACACTGAGGGTCCCTGGCCACCACACTGAGCGTCCCTGGCCACCACACTGAGGGACCCTGGCCACCACACTGAGGGACCCTGGCCACCACACTGAGGGACCCTGGCCACCACACTGAGGGACCCTGGCCACCACACTGAGGGACCCTGGCCACCACACTGAGGGTCCCTGGCCACCACACTGAGGGTCCCTGGCCACCACACTGAGGGTCCCTGGCCACCACACTGAGGGTCCCTGGCCACCACACTGAGGGTCCCTGGCCACCACACTGAGGGTCCCTGGCCACCACACTGAGGGTCCCTGGCCACCACACTGAGGGTCCCTGGCCACCACACTGAGGGACCCTGGCCACCACACTGAGGGTCCCTGGCCACCACACTGAGGGTCCCTGGCCACCACACTGAGGGTCCCTGGCCTCCACACTGAGGGTCCCTGGCCACCACACTGAGGGTCCCTGGCCACCACACTGAGGGTCCCTGGCCACCACACTGAGGGTCCCTGGCCACCACACTGAGGGTCCCTGGCCTCCACACTGAGGGTCCCTGGCCACCACACTGAGGGTCCCTGGCCACCACACTGAGGGTCCCTGGCCACCACACTGAGGGTCCCTGGCCACCACACTGAGGGTCCCTGGCCTCCACACTGAGGGTCCCTGGCCACCACACTGAGGGTCCCTGGCCACCACACTGAGGGTCCCTGGCCACCACACTGAGGGTCCCTGGCCACCACACTGAGGGTCCCTGGCCACCACACTGAGGGTCCCTGGCCACCACACTGAGGGTCCCTGGCCACCACACTGAGGGTCCCTGGCCACCACACTGAGGGTCCCTGGCCACCACACTGAGGGTCCCTGGCCACCACACTGAGGGTCCCTGCCCTCCACAGTACACGCAATAAAAGAGTTCTTCAGCTAAAAATACTTGATCATTCTCTTCCCCCTTCCCTTCCTCATCTCCCTTTTTCACTATCTCTATCTCTTCTTTCCCCTTCCTTATCTCCCCCTTTCCCTTTCTTATCTCTCCCTTGCCCTTCCTTATCTCTCCTTTGCCCTTCTTATCTCTCGCTTGCCCTTCCTTATCTCTCCCTTCCCCTTCCTTGTCTCCCCCTTCGTATCTAACATTTTATTACCGTCATTTTCCAATGTTACCATTGTGTTCCTCTCTTCCTACTCTTCGTTCCTCCGTCAGTACTTTCCTTTTATTGTACCTCCATTTACATTCTCCATTCCATTCTCCATCTCTCGTTCTCCCTCCCTTTTATTCTCTTTCATTTTTGAAAGTTTTTTGTTTAGTGGGGTGTGGAGCCTGGCCCATCTCACTGCCCAATCTCACCTCCCCATCACTCCGCCCCCTCACACCGCCCCATCACACTGGCCCATTGCACTGCCCCATCACACCGCCCCTTCACAATGGCCCATCACACTGCCCCATCACACTGGCCAATCACACTGGCCCATCACACCAGCCCACCACCACGGCCCATCACACTGGCCCATCACACCGCCCCATCACACTAGCCAATCACACCGGCCCATCACACTGGCCCATCACACCGGCCCATCACACTGGCCCATCACACCACCCCATCACACCGGCCAATCACACTGGCCCATCACACCACCCCATCACACCGGCCAATCACACTGGCCCATCAAACCGGCCCATCACATTGGCCCATCACACCGGTCCATCACACTGGCCCATCACACCGGCCCATCACACCGGCCCATCACACTGGCCCATCACACCGGCTTTCACACCGTCCCATCACACTGGCCCATTACACTGGCCCATCACTCGGGCCCATCATACTGGCCCATCACACTGGCCTATCACACCGCCCCATCACACTGGCCCATCACACCGGCCCATCTCACTGGCCCATCTCACTGGCCCATCACACCACCCCATCACACCGCCCATCACACCGCCCCATCACACTGGCCCATCACACCGCCCCATCACACCGCCCCATCACACTGGCCCATCACACCGCCCCATCACACCGCCCCATCACACCTGCCCATCACAATGGCCCATCACACCACCCCATCACACCGGCCCATCACACCGGCCCATCACACTGGCCCATCACACTAGCCTATCACACTGGCCCATCACACCGGCTTTCACACCGTCCTTCACACTGGGCCCATTACACTGGCCCATCACTCGGGCCCATCATACTGGCCCATCACACTGGCCTATCACACCGCCCCATCGCCCATCACACTGGCCCATCACACTAGCCTATCACACTGGCCCATCACACCGGCTTTCACACCGTCCCTTCACACTGGCCCATTACACTGGCCCATCACTCGGGCCCATCATACTGGCCCATCACACTGGCCTATCACACCGCCCCATCACACTGGCCCATCACACCGGCCCATCTCACTGGCCCATCTCACTGGCCCATCACACCACCCCATCACACTGCCCCATCACACCGCCCCATCACACTGGCCCATCACACCGCCCCATCACACCGCCCCATCACACCTGCCCATCACACTGCCACATCAAACCGCCCCATCACACCGCCCCATCACAATGACCCATCACACCGCCCCATCACACAGGCCCATCACACCACCCCATCACACCGCCCCATCACACCGCCCCATCACACTGGCCCATCACACCGCCCCATCACACCGCCCCATCACACCTGCCCATCACACTGCCACATCAAACCGCCCCATCACACCGCCCCATCACACTGGCCCATCACACTGCCCCATCACACCGGCCCATCACACCGCCCCATCACACCTGCCTATCACACTGGCCCATCACACTGCCCCATCAAACCGCCCCATCACACCGACCTATCACACTGGCCCATCACACCGCCCCATCACACCGCCCCATCACACCTGCCCATCACACCACCCCATCACACCGCCCCATCACACCGCCCATCACACCGCTCCATCACACCGGCCCATCACACCTGCCCATCGCACCGCCCATCACACCGCCCCATCACACCGCCCCATCACACTGGCCCATCACACCGCCCCATCACACCGCCCCATCACACCTGCCCATCACAATGGCCCATCACACCACCCCATCACACCGGCCCATCACACCGGCCCATCACACTGGCCCATCACACTAGCCTATCACACTGGCCCATCACACCGGCTTTCACACCGTCCCTTCACACTGGCCCATTACACTGGCCCATCACTCGGGCCCATCATACTGGCCCATCACACTGGCCTATCACACCGCCCCATCACACTGGCCCATCACACCGGCCCATCTCACTGGCCCATCTCACTGGCCCATCACACCACCCCATCACACTGCCCCATCACACCGCCCCATCACACTGGCCCATCACACCGCCCCATCACACCGCCCCATCACACCTGCCCATCACACTGCCACATCAAACCGCCCCATCACACCGCCCCATCACAATGACCCATCACACCGCCCCATCACACAGGCCCATCACACCACCCCATCACACCGCCCCATCACACCGCCCCATCACACTGGCCCATCACACCGCCCCATCACACCGCCCATCACACCTGCCCATCACACTGCCACATCAAACCGCCCCATCACACCGCCCCATCACACTGGCCCATCACACTGCCCCATCACACCGGCCCATCACACCGCCCCATCACACCTGCCTATCACACTGGCCCATCACACTGCCCCATCAAACCGCCCCATCACACCGACCTATCACACTGGCCCATCACACCGCCCCATCACACCGCCCCATCACACCTGCCATCACACCACCCCATCACACCGCCCCATCACACCGCCCCATCACACCGCTCCATCACACCGGCCCATCACACCTGCCCATCGCACCGCCCCATCACACCGCCCCATCACACCGCTCCATCACACCGGCCACTCACACCGCCCATCACACCCGCCCATCACACCGCCTCATCACACCGCCTCATCACACCGCCCCATCACACCCGCCCATCACACCACTCATCATACCAGCTCATCACAATGGCCCATCACACCGCCCTATCACACCTTCCCCTCACACCACCCCATCACACCGGCCCATCACACCGTCTCATCACACCGGCGTAGCACAATGGCCCATCACACCGGCCATCACAATGGTCCATCACACCGGCCCATTAAAATTTCACCCCGCCTGAAATCTTTAACTGTTTCCACAGGCGGCCCCGAGGGCTTCCCGCTCCCCTCCAGCCGCCCTCTCTAATGTTAGCTTTGGCACTTGCCCCTTCTGTCCTCTACTGCCTCTCGCGTCCCCTTCTGTTCTCTTCTGCCTCTCGCGTCCCCTTCTGTCCCCTACTGCCTCTCGCGTCCCCCTTCTGTCCTCTACTGCCTCTCGCGTCCCCCTTCTGTTCTCTTCTGCCTCTCGCGTCCCCTTCTGTCCCCTATTGCCTCTCGCGTCCCCCTTCTGTCCTCTACTGCCTCTCGCGTCCCCCTTCTGTCCCCTACTGCCTCTCGCGTCCCCCTTCTGTCCTCTACTGCCTCTCGCGTCCCCTTCTGTTCTCTTCTGCCTCTCGCGTCCCCCTTCTGTCCCCTACTGCCTCTCGCGTCCCCCTTCTGTCCTCTACTGCCTCTCGCGTCCCCCTTCTGTCCCCTACTGCCTCTCGCGTCCCCCTTCTGTCCTTTACTGCCTCTCGCGTCCCCCTTCTGTTCTCTTCTGCCTCTCGCGTCCCCCTTCTGTCCCATACTGCCTCTCGCGTCCCCTTCTGTCCTCTACTGCCTCTCGCGTCCCCTTCTATTCTCTTCTGCCTCTCGCGTCCCCTTCTGTCCTCTACTGCCTATCGCGTCCCCCTTCTGTCCTCTACTGCCCTCGCATCCCCTTCTGTCCTCTACTGCCTATCGCGTCCCCCTTCTGTCCTCTACTGCCTCTCGCATCCCCCTTCTACCCTCTACTACCTCTTTTGTCCCCCTTCTATCCTCTACTGCCTCTCGTGTCCCCCTTCTGTCCTCTACTGCCTCTCGTGTCCCACTTCTGTCCTCTACTGCCTCTCGTGTCCCACGTCTGTCCTCTACTGCCTCTCGTGTCCCCTTCTATCCTCTACTGCCTCTAGTGTCCCACTTCTGTCCTCTACTGCCTCTCGTGTCCACTTCTGTCCTCTACTGCCTCTCGTGTCCCCCTTCTATCCTCTACTGCCTCTAGTGTCCCCCTCTATCCTCTACTGCCTCTCGTGTCCCACTTCTGTCCTCTACTGCCTCTCGTGTCCCCTTCTATCCTCTACTGCCTCTCGTGTCTCCCTTTTGCCCTCTACTGCCTCTCGTGTCCCCCTTCTATCCTCTACTGCCTCTAGTGTCCCACTTCTGTCCTCTACTGCCTCTCGTGTCCCACTTCTATCCTCTACTGCCTCTCGTGTCCCACTCTGTCCTCTACTACCTCTCGTGTCCCCTTCTATCCTCTACTGCCTCTCGTGTCCCCCTTCTGTCCTCTACTGCCTCTCGTGTTCCCTTCTGTCCTCTACTACCTCTCGTGTCCCCCTTCTATCCTCTACTGCCTCTCGTGTCCCCCTTCTGTCCTCTACTACCTCTCGTGTCCCACTTCTGTCCTCTACTACCTCTCGTGTCCCACTTCTGTCCTCTACTACCTCTCGTGTCCCCCTTCTATCCTCTACTGCCTCTCGTGTCCCCCTTCTGTCCTCTACTGCCTCTCGTGTCCCACTTCTGTCCTCTACTACCTCTCGTGTCCCCTTCTATCCTCTACTGCCTCTCGTGTCCCACTTCTGTCCTCTACTGCCTCTCGTGTCCCTTTTCTCGCCGTCAGCTCTCCTTCTTTTCATTTATGACTTCAAAACGCAGCAAGTTATCACATTTCACTTTCCTGCTCCGTCCCTCCAGCCATGTTGTATTTTGTTATTCAAATTTCCCTCCAACATGTGAAGTTTATTTTCGTTCTGTATTTTCCAGTATTATAGTTCGTGTCTCACGTGTGAGAGGCCCTGTCACTGGAGCACCGTGATCTGGAGAGGTTTACAACCCTCTCCATCCTGGGGCGTTTTTACCCCCTGAAATTATCTCTCCTCAACCAGTTTTATAAACAATAATTACTGGTTAAATTTTGGATCAGTTGACGTGTTTCTGGGATATATGTGTGTGTGGCTTTATGTTTTCCATATTATATTAGCGTCTTTTGTAGCTGCTCTCTACACCATTCATCACCCCTTTCCTCGTCCCCTCACTACCTACCTCCGCCCTCTCCGCATGCCTCCACCCCTCTACACTTACCACATCCCATCTTGACCCCCTCTCCACCCACTTCAACCCAACAAATGCCCTCTCCACCCACCACAACCCCTGCCCCCCCCCCCCCCACTAGTCTGGCCCCTGGGACCCACATTAACGAGCACAGAGCTGCTCTACTCCAGTCTCTGCCTCCTCCTGCAGTGCCAACTCACTTAGTTATGCCTTCAAGTTCTTCCACTTATATTTACAAAACATTTGCTACTGAGGTGATGTTTTTAAATTATTCTTTCACTTGGTAGAGTATGTCTGAGGTCATAATTATTTCCTTTATCTACAAATTTTTCTCTCGCCCTGGTTACCCTTTGCATTTTATCACTGTGCCTATTCTCAAGTTAAACGAAATTTCTTTAATTTGAAACCTGTTTCTAACAATAGTAGCACTGTGCTCTGCCTTCCCTTCATATCTGAACTCAAAACTTTAACTAATACTTTCGTCCTCTTGACATATAGCTCGCCTTCCGACAAACTAACACTCTTCGTAGCAGTCTAGTCCACACTGCTCCTCCTGCTTCTAATGCTGCTGGTGTCTACTCTATTTTCCTGTTCGCCAATACTTTGGTGAATCTGGCCGTACACTTAATGACACACTTTACGAACACAAAAGAAGTGTTAAGTCTGCAGACACAAACAATGCTCTCTTCTGTTATGTTAGGGATTCTAATCATCCTATTGATTGGTCTTCCTCCAAAATAATCTTTCCTGCCTCTATTCTACACAGACGCCATCTTGTTGAATCGGCTCTGATACACAACGTACCCAACATGAACCTGAATCCTGGCTTTGTTGCTGCTGAATCTTCCCTTTCACAGTACATACTCAAATTTTCTAAACTTTCTAACAAACGTGACGTTACATAAGCCTACCCTTCTTTTATCTTTCTGTTTCGTTCTCTTGTGTTCTCTTACGATCCCTTTCTTATTCCTATTATTACACGCATTATTACACGTAACCTTCCGTACCTTTTGCCTTGCTCTTCTTTTCCTCTATGATTTACATCTCCTCACCTCTCTCTTGCCTATTTATTGCCCTTGCCTCCTTCCTCTCAATACAATCGACTTGATAATGGTCCAGGGCGGACTGAAACCATGAACCAGCCAGTTTTTAACTGGCTGGCCCATGGTTCGATTCTCTCATATGAGGAAGTGTTCTGTTTGTTAAAATTCCTGCCACCACTTGCGAGTTCATGCAGGTGTATGGCATATTCAAGACACGAGTTTTCCCTAGTATATATGATTGATAGAAAATGAGTGTTTGATCATAAGCCCTCCCTCTGGCGTCATTGGAGACGGAGGTTTCGTGGAATAGCCCCCCCGAAATCTACCCCCTATTTTACTGTTTTACAGGAACTTCTTTTCCGCAGCTCATAAAATGGAGGAAAGGGTCCTGAAAGATATTGTTAATAGAAACGTTATCCCTATAGACAAAAATCAGAAGATACAATTGACGATCTACTATAAAACCAAGAAAACGGCCAACCTACTCATGAGAAACTCTCCAGACACAAAGCAGAACGCTTTAAAAGAGACCAATGTCGTCTATGCCTTCAAATGCCCACTTGGGGACTGTAAGCCTCAAAGAATTCAGTATATAGGCAAGACAACAACATCTCTTTCCAGGCGATTAACGATGAATAAGCAACAGGGCTCCATTAAGGAACACGTAATCTCTTCCCACAACCAGACCATCACCAGAAAAGTCTTAACAAAAAACACGGAAATCATCGATAGATACAGCGATAGCAGGCGGCTAGGTATTTATTTTGCGATAATATCGCAACATAAATACTCTGTAAGACATGGCCAATTGTCTAATTCTTTGTTTGTGCATTTGTCAGAAAAAGCTCACCAATTTGATTGGGAGAGTGCTTCTTCAATAACAAATTGTAAAAGCACCTATAACAGAAACATAATTGAATCTGCTTTGATACAGATCACCAAAGAAAGTAATTTGAATATTAGCAGTGGTCTATATAACTTAGATTCATTTCTAATAGATCAGCTAAAGGGCGATTTAAGTAGAATCATTGAAAAACATTTGTCTCACTAATTTATTGTATATATTTACTTCTTATGTTATAATTACCTATATATTATGCTTGTATGTCTGCTGTATCAGATGGGCCATTGGGCTACATCGGATGGGCCAATTGGGTGCATCTGATGGGCCAATGGGCCGTCTGCGTTGTCCAAGTATTGTACCTCACCTTACTTCACCACTCCTTCCTGCCTATTTATACCCATCACTCGATCTGTAAAATGACCTTCTGAAGATGTATTTAATATACGAAAGTACTAAGGAAATTTCCTGTTTCATTTTTCCTCCGTGGTCTGACATTGTCACATTCTTAATCACGTGTTTATTTTCGTGATATACACACACACACACACACATATATATATATATATATATATATATATATATATATATCTATATATATATATATATATTATATATATATATATATATATATATATATATATATATATATATATATCATACGTAATAGCCATAACTCACTATTTGGCCTAATATACAGGGCTCTCATCACAGTAGGCCAAGTTTGCAGGGCTCTTGAATATTTAGGCTAGAGGGCAATGGTGTCTATCTATTTAGCCTATTATGCAATAGATTTTTTTTATTATTATTATATATTAGAGAGTAGGCTGTATTTTTGTAGAATCAAGTAAAGGTTCGTCAGGAAGACATAGCGGGATGTAGACAATGTTGACGTCATCAAAGTGATACCTAATGATAACTAAAGGAATAGGCATCATAGCATCTTAACCCATCTAACCCCCATTTGTTTCAATAATAATAATAATAATACTATATGTAATATTTACATATACTGTATTATTATATACTTAAAAAAAAGAGAATGAG